TGATCGCGGTATATAATTATATATTGTAGAGTCTGTTTGAAATTACTTGTGTCGTGGGCGTCTTCGCTCTTCTAACCTGCTGGCTTGCAGTTGTATATTTGAAGGTTACAGGCTGAGACCTCGATTATCCCTATTCTTCTGCGCAGTGTATATATAACCCATTATCTTTTTCCAGCCTTTCAAAGATGCCTCCGAGGAGTACGTTATCCATGTGCCGCTGCGCAAGCCGAAAACGGTCTGTATATTGACCTCACGGTGAGCTCCATTCTGCCTTCATGATCTTAATGTGCTTCAGCTGTTGCTTAATTATTCCGACAACCTTCCCTCTGGTATTCTATCGCCTTTTTTAAATTGTAGGCGCCTTTTGGTTCTGAGTTTCAACGACATTCTTGGCAGCTGGTCGTGTGATTGGCAGATAAGCCTCGCGGAGCTGGATGGAGCGCCCACCGAGTGTGCTAGCGGTCTCGAGCTGAAGCTACTTAAGGCGCAGCGGAGGGTCTTCGGCTCTTCCACCATTTCCAAGTTCATTGAGGCGGACGTCGACCAAGCTAGGGTAGGCGCTTGCGGTTGCAGCATACAACCTAGCTAGATTCCCTGTTACTGTCTTCTATCACCTTTTCACATTTGCTTGTCCTCAGCTTTCTTTCCTCCCTTTTTAGCGTTTACAGGCCAAAATAGTACAGAGGATGTCCACGGAGGAGGCTTCGTGATGGACCGTGATTCCTACCTCAGCCCAAGGCATCTTACTATCCACGTGGGCTTTAAGAGGGAACCTCCAAAGAGCTTTCAACCCCAGAGCTTGCCTTGAACTCTTCACTATGTTTACTTCCGCTATACTCCCTTCCAATTAACCCTGGCCCCTTTTACATCTCTTTCGCTTCAGTGTTGGCCATTTACTATAAGCCCACTATGTTTAACTACTCGCTGTGGCTTCCGTGAGGCGTCCTTAATCTTGTGTTATACCCTCGTCACGTGTGTTGGATGCCATCGACCGAATGTTTGTCCGATTTCGAGTTTTCCAGGGCTATGTGAATTTGTTCCCCTCGATGCTCCTGGCATTTCTCCATCATCAAGATGAAGCAGTTTGACGTAATTCAGTTCTATAAAGTGAAGGTATTTTTGCTCTCCATATTGTTTTTGGTGCATTCGGGAGGATGGCGGGTGTCTGCGGGTAGTTATGCTAATTCGTAGATGGGAAATTAGGGGGCAGCCTGAATAAAGACGCATTTTTTCGGGCTTAATAATGGACGCTCGTCTGGGGGGGGGCGCATTTTACTAAATGTCAGCCGGGATGCTACGATCCGTTTCCCACTAGAAGGAATTACTTGGGTGCAGATGTGATATTTTTATCATGCAACTCAGTCGCAAGAATTTTCAACCACATCGGAACAGAAACTGTGTTCTCTATAAGATAACTGCATTATACACTTTTTATATTGGCTTTACATATATAGCTATATGTATTGAAATGTGCATTTTATTAAACTTGCACAAAAATATCCTTTCGTGTACTCGTCAGACGACAAAACACGCCTCTAAATTGCATATGTAAAGGGGGAGAAAGTGGCATCTTTTAAAGGGTTTTCAATTCCTAATGATTACGCTGCCGGCCTGCCGTTGTAATTACGATTAGGGGCTTCAAAACTAAAAACTGTATACTTTCCATATAAAAGAACTTGTTCCCCTACTCTGTTGAGCACGTACCATCTACCATTCACGAAGTTTTCCAATTCATTTAAACGAAGTTGTGTACTTCTTAATCAGTATTTATAGACAAAAATATTATTCTACTTGGATGAATAATTCGTGGTTTTCGAACCCTTAATTGTAAACCCTTTCGAAACAGTAATCCACCGTTTCTTCGATTATAAAATGTGAAGT